TACATTTATTTGAATAATTTATATATTTTTAAAAATATTTTCAAAAAGACCGCCTTGAAATAGCAACGTTAAAAAAATAATACGTGCGTCAGCGGTGCAACACTACCGCGATTGATACTCAAATGTTGGCAATACTACTGCAAGAAAATTCAGAAAAGAATAATTATGTTTAAAGTATTTTTTTAATAGTGTAAGTTTGTAACATAATAGTAATAATATATTATTCTATTAATAGTAAGGATATATAGTAATATTAATTAAAATAAAAATATAAGGGATAGTGAAAAATATCTGTTGAATATAAATCAGTATATTTATACATTTCTAATAGAAACGATTAACTTCTAAAATTTTGTCTATATAAAATGTATATTTACATTGTTAAAATTTTGTTTCAAAAGTTTAATTAATAATTAAACAATTTAAGATTGTTTCGATTAAAACCAAAACAATTAATTAAAAGTAGCTAGAAAAGAAAAAAATCTAAAGAAGGAAGTTTATTTATAAATAAAATTATATCTCAAAATTCCATCGTACGACGTAGCGAGTTATAAAAATAATATTGTTTATAAGGGTATACACAAGTTTCTAGAAATAATCTTCATATAAAAGTAGATAGAGAGAGTAGGTTAATACGAAATAGAAATCGGCATTAAGGATGTGGTAGGATAAAAGTGCGTAGGTGCTAACATCTGTAGTGCCGGCCCTGTTTCATGTATTCCAAATTTAATTTCACAGCTTTGGATCCCGTGTGAAATAAATGTAACGTTCCAATCGGGTAGATGATAAAAATTCAATCCTCGTTGCTACGTAGAATGTATGTAAGGTGTATAAAAGTTGGAAATAAGAGATTGTAGAAAAAAGTATAGTAAGCAGGTGAAAATATAACCAAAGAAAGACCAAAATAGTAAGCCGTGTGTAAGTGAGGGAGATCAAGTGTATAAGGAGAAGAAGTCAGGTACGGTTATGCACTTTTTCTGTCTTTCTTTATTCAACGAAGACGCAGAAGAAGTTCCTTGTCCGAAGTGCATTAAAAGGCTGTCTAACTTAAACGGGCAGTTGGCAGCCGTGCGTAAAAGAAATAAATAATCAAAGCGACCATGAAGTGACAAATAAAGTTGAACGAACAATGCTCGAAAATATCGCGAGAGAAATAGTTAACGGGGTGTATTAGACTTGTTCGTATGTTTTCAAAAGGTCTTCCGCGATGTAACGTGGTGTATCCTACTATGTAATAATTTAAGGTGCGTTATGTATTTCTTGTGGAATCGAGGCTGACATTTGGATATTTTCCTACTTTCAATATCTCGATGATATTGGTCCTTTACCTTAGCATACTCGTATCGGTTGTGTTCTTACAACATAAATCGAGTACTAAGTCGTCGAACCTTTATATAGGTTTCATTTCATTAAATGATTAGAAACGTTCGAATTTTTTATTCGTTTATATATAACTTATTATACCGGGAAGAAATAACTTCACGGCCATGCTTTCCTCAAGGATAATATTAAAATATACATATTATTAATCGAAGACTTTAGTTTAACTAGTGAATGTTTTTTCATTGATAACCTCCAATAACTCCGCGCTCTGCGGATCCTAGTGGCCATGCATTTGGTCCTTATATTATCTACCAACGTCTGACATTGTACTTATCATACGCAATACTTCAAACATGAAAACAGAGAAAAAGACAAGTGAGCCAAGTTGCGTACCTACAACTGTTGTCAAGGAGGAACCTGATACCGATTCTGTCAAGATCAAGGAAGAAGGCACTGGTGGTAATAACGAGGATGTTTCTGGTGAAGATACGACAGAGTGTCCAAGAGATCCTTGTTTGGATCCGACCAGTGGGGATGGAACAATGTCTGTAGAGAATCAAAGTAGTAATGGAAATCAACCGATTTTAAATTCTGTCAAGCAAGAAAACGATCACAATAATTCAGCTGATGATTTGCCAGGTATTATGTAATGTTCTGAATATGTTATTCTCTTATAGATATATACCTCTATACTTAACCAAATATTTTTACTTTAATAGATTGCAGTGGAAATGTTATTACCAATGATGGAATACAACCACTTGTTAGTAACGTTCTTGGAAAACAAATAGGCACTAGTACGAGTAGTGGAGAAGCTCAATATATGCAACAGCAAAGTCAAATCTTTGTCTTCTCTACGGCATTAGCTAACAAAAGTGCAGAAGCGGTGCTACAAGGACAATATTCATCTATTATCGCTTATCATTGTGCGCAACCAGGCACAAAAAAATATTTGGAGGTATAATAATCTTCTAATGTGTATATTTTATTGTTAATGTTCTATACATTTATTCATTGAATTTGTTATCTTATATGTATTTTGTAATGTATGGAATATATATTTTCCATAGAAGCATCCAAATAAAATGAATCAATTTCGACACAATCCAGCACAATGGTTAAATAATCTTGCTATAATGAAACAAAAAAGTCATCAAGGTAGTTCGACTACTACTTTTCCAACTGAACAACCTCCCGATCTACCAGCACTTGATCCAAATACTCCACAATTTTGGAATGAACCTAATATACGTAACTTAAATGGTGGCAATTCTCTCGGAAATTCAGAGCCATCATTAGATGATACAAATATAGATGTGCCTTGCCTAGTGCCGAATTCACCCAGTAATTCAGGTAATTTTAACATTTAAATATTATTGCTATATCAAACAAACGAGCACAAATATAAACTTTATACAGTGATATTATATTACATTATTTTATAATTAAATTTGGTATTTTAGCTAATCCTCAACCATCTAATAATGCAACAATGGGACACAGTCCAAGTTTGCTAAGTGGTACTACAAGCCCAGGTCCAGGGAGTTTACAGCCATCGTTACAGGGTGTTAAGGTGCCAGATGAGAATCTAACACCACAACAAAGGCAACACAGGGAGGTTCAATTGGCAACTATTAGAAAAATGCAAATGATGTTATTTCCTGAACATAAAGAAGATTCTTCAAATGCATTAGATGGTACTCAAGGAACACCGGTATCATCATGTCCTCAAACGAATGTCCCATCTGGTGTACCAAATCAATGTCCTCCCAGTATGGATTGGCATAAATTACAACAGCAATTTTTTGATAACAAAAATAAGGTAAATATTTGTATTATTTAAAATAATTCATTTTACATTAATACTTTAAATTTATTTCTATTATAGACAAGTGTTGGTAGTCCTGGCGCGGTTCCATTACGTGGTGCTAATATGATTGGAGTTCCACGCAGTCAAGGACCACCACCGCCATACCATCAAACAACACGATCTGCGAGTGTACCAATTGCAATTCAAAGCCCAAATCCGTCATCTCCTAACAATCCCACTAGTAATTTATCATTACCATCGCCTCGTGCGAGCTCAGCTTTGAATTCGCCAGCTGATTGTAACAGGCAATTTCAACTTGGTAATCAAAGAACTGGACATCTGCCAGGGCAAAGTCCGACCAGTCAAGATTCTCCAAATCCTACAGTTGGTTCGAATGCTGTCTCGAGTGCACGGTTAAATCATAGTAATCCGGGAACACCAGTTTCTCATTCTCATATTATTGCTCTAAGTCCTAATGCTCCTCAAAAGGATAATTCTCTTGATTTTCCCACAAGTCAGCCACCGAATGGTAAGTTATTTTTTATTTATAATCATAATTAAATTGTTCAAAATATATTTCAATTAATATTCATCCTTTTTTCTCCATAAATTAATAACTTTCTTCTTTTTTTTTTTTGCAATGTAGTGGATGGAATGTTTTGTCGAACATTGCAATCGTTAGCTCAACAAAAACAGCAGCATAGTGGAACAGTGAATGCGGCGGGTGTAAAAGAAGCAAATCTTATGCCTGTACCTAGTCCTCAACAAATTCAGTATTACAACACATTTGAGGGACAAGAATTAACAATACAAAAGCAAGCTAATACCAGTCTTAAAGAAGGCAATTTGTCTGGGTAAGTTTAGAATTATATTATATTGAATACGTTGTTTTTTTGTTTGCAAAATCTTAATTTTATTATGATTTAATTTTTATTCCTACTGTTAATAATAAATATTATTCGTTTTAGAAATAATGGTAATAATCCAGAAATATCAAATAGGATATTGTCTGGAAACATGGATAACAACAACCAATTTCCAGCACGAACAGAAGCTGCAAGTCCAGTTCAAATGGATAGTATGAATAGAGGTTTTACAGGCTCCTTACATAGTCCTCATACGCCGCATACACCGCATACTCCTGGAAGTGGTGCTCCCCATACTCCTGCTGATTCAACAAAACCAGGAAATAAATCGAGTGCTAGTGCTCAAAGTAGTCCTGCGCCGCATAATACTAGTGTATCAGATAGTATGGGACCACCACGAGCTGTTCAAGCATCACCCACGACAAAACCTGACACATCTCCTCCTTTATCTAAAGATAATCAACAACAACAACAATCTCAGCAGGCACAATCGCAACAACAGCAACAGCAGCAGCAGCAGCAACAACAACAGCAGCAGCAACAACAGCAGCAGCAACAACAACAACAACAACAACAGCAACAACAACAGCARCAACARCARCAACAACARCARCAACAGCAACAGCAGCAGCAGCARCAACAACAACAACAACAACAGCAACAAGTAAACTCTAACAATCCTGGAAACACAACAGTAGTGCCTTCGCTGGTGGGTGCTCCAGGAACTTCTTTCCCTTGTGCCAGATCATCTATAAATGTGAGTCAACCTTCTGACAATGTGCCTCTTAATCCCAACAATATCGCTAGCAGGCTGGGTAATTTAAGTGGAATGAGTACAAACCATTTTGATCCTATAACTTCGCTAGCACAAATGAGTCAACAGCTAACAAATACAGCCACGAGTAATTCGTTAGGTAACGAAGGTCCGATACATTCTGGTAATCCTGGAATGATGCCATTTGGCAATCCACATGGTATTCACATGATACAAATGAATAGTGAAATGAATGGAGGTTGTCACGTGGGTGGTCCAACCAGTGAACCGGGTGAAGTCAGTGGAATGTGTATGGGCTTAGCAGGACCACCTACAAGTTACAGTCCTACTACTACGCATACTGGAAGTCCAGGGGTGCCTAGTAAAATGGGACATCCTATGATGGGTCATGGAATGATGAGTAGCCATTCGGGAGGTCAAGGTGGCGGATATCCAGGTGGTGAACCTCACGCGCCATCGCCAAGATTGATGACGGGACATGTCACAGGACCGAATCCTTACAATGGAACAAATGTCCAAGTAAAACCTAATGCTCCAAATACTATACAATATCTACCGGCAAGGCCCAACGTGGGACACGCGCCTAGAGGACCACCTAGTTTGGACTTTCTTCAGAGATTTACTAATCCGCTATCTAATTTGGAATCTAAAATGCCCACACCTTCAGTAAATCTTCAGTACTTCCCAAATGGTTGTGTACCGAATAGTATGGGTCCACATAGTGGAATGCCATCCACCATGAGTGCTGGACTTCCTGGTATGGGAGGGTCTCCAAGAATGGATGGACAACCAATGAATACGTCAGTTGGTGTACATCCTTCTATGAGACCAGTTGGTAACATGCGGCCTCAACCTAACGTAATGCGTATGCAGTATATGGTTGGTGGGGGCGTTTTCCCAGGAAATTCAATGGATCCTGATAAAGTCTTCCCACCTGATATGGTATCACAGGTACCTAATCAATCAAATCCCGGTATGTATGTATCTGGTAGTAAAGGTAGTCCAATGGGATTGGGACCACCTCCCGATGCTACTCAACCACTACCTCCAAGTATGGGTGGCACTACGAGTAATTTTAAAAATAGTCCATTCGTGGGTAGTGGTCCAACTATGTCGGATCCTAATTATGCTCAACAGTTCCATAACTTCCAACAACAGCTTTATGCCACTGGAACAAGAGGTAGTGGGCCACCACACCCTAATTTACACCCACCACCTAATTCACATTCACATCAACAGTTCTTCATGCCTAAATAAATAACATGATTATTATAATGTCAGAGTAAGAGAAACTGTGATCATTTTTCCATGATCTTTGTATCTCTATTACTCATTAAATAAGGATAATCCTATCATTTATAACTCGACAAATCTTTGAAAGTCTGTTTTGCTAACGATTATAACAGCAAAAAAACGAAGAAAAACAAATATTATTATGATTTTAACGTCCATTAAATAATTATAAAAATTATAGTAACGATGTGTTAAAGAGAGTGCCTGCAGCTGGCATGTGGCGAGACTTCTCTCGTTCAATTGTTTTTATTTTCATTTTTTTTTTTTATATATGTATACTGTGTTATATGCATAATGTGTTACGCCCTCCAAAAAGGGACTTTATTTCTAAATCCATATAGCATCGTATATATTTTTAACAATTTTAGTCTCTTATATCTGTTATTTTCAATGGTATGAAGATATTTCCCGATCGTATTCTTTTTTTATTCCCTTCCCTATTATTAAGTACCGAAACACTTGTAAATTCTAAACGTTTCCGAATAGGAACACGCACAACATACACACAACACGCGCGCGAACACACACACATGCATACAACTCACACACAGTGCGTGGACTATGTTAACGCGACGATGTAAATACTGATGTAAAATCTGATTTTTCGTAATAATAATCGTTATATCAACGATTGGAATGTGCGATTTGTAGGTAAGAATAATTGATATAGCTTGAAAAAGAATAAGGAAAGAAATAAAAAGAAAAGGAAAAGAAAAGGGAAAGAAAAATTAAAAAGAAAAGACGAGAAGTGTCATTCTTTCTCTTTGACTATTCGTAGTATCGTTTGAAAGAGACAAATTGTTCTCGAATAAACTAAGGAACAAATTAAGCGAGCAAGAAGAAAAAAAATGAAGTACACCGGTGCCGGAATTCATCCTTCCTTTATCAGAGAAAATCTTAAGAAACACACACGTTACAAATTCAATTTCATAATTGTACATACATACGATATATACATACATACATATATACATAAATACATACATACATGCATAAATACCTAAAATACAAACATGTATATGTATATATATACATATATATACGCATATGTATACATATATAAACCTGTTGCAACATAATCCTTACAATATCGCCCGTCCCCCTTCACTCCCTCACCAATCCTCCTTGTGACCAACTCTGTGCATAATCATGACCCCATGTAGTTTATAATGATTATAAAAAAAGTAATTGACTAAGAACAATTATGTTGTTGACGAATGATTTTTATTATAAATGAAAAATAAAGATATTTACAAGAAGTCATTATGACATTGAATTTTGTCCGTTATTCATTTTTTCTTTTAGTTTTTTAAATAGTTTAAAAGCAAGCATGGAAGTTGTTATCAATGGTGTTGCTATATGCAACAGATATAGAAACAAATTCACGTTATATTTTTAATTATGTCGATTGCTTTCGACTTATTTAAATCTATCTTAAGTTCAGAGAAAACACCATATCTTTTTTTCAATCTGATGACGCGAACACATTTGAGAATTCATTATAAGGGAATGATTCATTTAATACTACACAGTATAGTTACTTATTCGGATATTTATGCATAGATATAGAAAAAAGGAAATAATAGACCGAAAAAATATCTTTCAAGCGGTGAAGAATAAAGTATTACAAAAGCAGGCTGAGCGCAATTTAAGCAGTGATATGTTGTTTACATTGACCTAGTGCATTTGTAATTAATAACACAATTGAAAATTCGAAGCCATTACAATTATTTTTTGTGCTTTGAAATATTTTTTTTGCAAAGCTTTGAAAAATTTTTCCATCAATTTTAATAAACTTTATAAATAACATCGTATCCCCTTATGTCATTTATCTAGGAAAATTGTATCTACGAGGATTCACCAAAATTATAGAATCTTGTTTTGACTAGCGAAGAAATTTTATCTACGCTTAATGATTTATAAACTTTTTGCAATAATTATGCAAAATGACAATATTGCGTAGATGAACAACCTGTTTTTTTTCTTTTTCCTTCGTATTATTATTATTATCGTTACTATTATTATTATTATTATTATCATAATCATCATCATTATCCTCATCATCATTCTTTCTATCAATTTGATCACAAATTTAAAGCTTAACATCGATCGATTTCCTTTTTGCAAGAAGTTTTATATTATCTTCCACTTTATTTAAAAAGTGCTCACTAAATCACTAAACTTGTCGCATTATATATATGTTCTTAGTTGCGTACTTGCTGTTGCTCCAAGTATTTTCTTCTGCCTGTAAAAGTAATATTTTAGTAAGTTTGGAAGATACTTTTTTTTACAAAAAATACTATACTAATATTATATTCTTCCTTATTTAATAATATAATTTATATTTATTTTATAGCCTATAAATTTCATCGTATTCATTCATTAAAAATTATTAGTTATTTAATTTCAAAAAGTACAAAAAGATAATAGCATTCAAAAGAAACTTATTTATTGCGGTTTTTAAAAACCAGTTTTATCCCTAAAACCCATGTCAAACCTGTCCTTCTGCACAACTTCTCAGTGGCTGGATGTACCTGAATCACGCCAATCATTTCCATTTCTGTAAGTATTACAATTCTTATAACATACATATATTAGTTTAGATAATTTAATATATATACTCAATAAAAATAATAAGTTTCTTTTTGATAATAAAATCATATTAGACAGAAATTACCAATGCAGTGCATTCCAATCATTATTAATGTTAATTGCGAGTTACGTTTCATTTGAGATACAATTATAGGTACGAGTGTTTAAAGAATGCAAGAAGTTGGTTATTTCAATCACAAAATAATGCAAAATAATTTTTATGGCATTACCCTCATTACCTTGACCGTTGTTCTTCCGAAGTAACTGTATTTCCATTTGTGCTGAAATATTAGATAGTTAAAGTATTAATTATATTAATAGCAAAGATTATGCATCATTTATTTACCTTTTTTTTACTGTTGCCAAGGTGTCCCATTCGCTAAGATCATATTTTGATAAATCTCCATCGTCATCATCATCTTCCTCTTCGTCTTCTTCTTCCTCCTCCTCTTCCTCTTCTTCTGCTTGTTCTTCTTCTTCTCCTTCTTCATTATCCTACAATAAAATCGTTTCATAAAGTAATCGTAAACAAAATCTATAATTATTGATGGACAAACAAATAAATTACATTTTCTTCAACTTGTTCTACTTCTTCCTCAGCTATCTCATCTTTTTCGTCTTCTTTGGCTTTACAATGAGAAGGGCTGTTGTATCTAGAATCCTTAGAATCATCGTCAGAACGATTTTCAATCTTTCTCTTTTTTTTACGTCTTCCAAATTCATCATAATCGTCGTCATCTTCTCTTCTTTCTTTATATTCAACTATACCCCGATCATTGTATCCTCCACCATATCCAGTACGTTCTTCTATTTCCCCAAATTTAGGAGCATTACACATATTGCATTGTTGTCGACGAGCCCAATTCACGTTACCACATTTACTACATTGCCAATCATCTGCGCTGTAACATAAAATTTACATAAATTTAATAGAAATGAAAAAGAAAGAGAAAGATAGATAGATTGATAGATAGGTAGAGATAGAGATTATATTTTAAATGAGAATTTAAAAATATAAACGAACTAAACTTTTTAATTTTTAATTGAAAGATTATACCTAAATAATCCTCTACTTTTTTCTGCAGCCGCTTTACCAATTTCTTGTCCCAGCTTTTTCTTCTTTGTACATTCGCCTCTGTCTGTATTAACAAACTTTGATTATTTATTTTTCATTATAAGAATCTAGAATTTACAGAATATACTTTTGTATTATAATGTATAGGTTTGGAACAGAGAATATTTTCTTTGCATTGAACAATCCAAAATATTATAGAATAAAAACAATACTTAACAAATGAACTAGAATTAATATAAAAATGTATATACCTTTTCCACAACGATTACAAGAGCTTCGTCTTGCGAAATTTACATTAGCACACCTGTGGTACAATAGCAATTGTATATATTACATTGACATTAATAATAGTACTTATAACATATAAAAAATTAAAAAATAAAATAATTTAATAAAGATGATATAGATTATTAGAAAATACGTACTGAGAATCTGGACAGACCCAATCACCGTCATTGATACTACGTTGATTATCTTCGTCAACTTTACTAACATCCATTTTTGTGTGTGTATGTGTGTATCAGAGAATCTTTTGTTCAGGTATTATATATATAATAATCTTGATTATTAGTATTATATACGATTTAAGCTAACTGTAGCACTTTTTTTTCTATTTTACCTGATAGAAACATTAACTATCACATTAGGTTTATTTTTGAAAGTCGAAACTTTAAGAGAATTATTTAATACGGAGGCGTAGATTGTAGTGATTAATGTATTCTAAAATATCTTAATTAATTATCAGATTATTATCTTCTAATACATTTCATTCGAAGTCATTTAAAATGTATATTGAGAGGTATTCATAAATATTATTACTATCTTAGAGATAGAGAGAGCAATACCTTTTATTACCACCATATCCGCGGTATAACGTACCGCGATACAAACGTGTATGCAAAGTAAACTCTTATTCCCAGGAATAAATCAGTATATACTACTAATCACTACAAAAACTCAGGGGAGCCAAACACTGATATTATTCAAGTTAAAAGTTCAATAAATTATTCCTTTATTTTTGTAAGGGCACTAGTATTCCTATTTTGAAAGAAAAAGAATAAGGAAAGAACTGAAAGGAGCATATGCATCGTATAATGTTAACGGAAGTGGAAGTTTTACTGCCATCTCGGTGTTTCCATATTTTATATATATACTATTATCTATTTCAAACATTTTAATTATAAAGATTTAAGATTTAATAAAAATTCAAATATTTATAATTCATTCTACGAACATATTTTAATATACAATCATTAAATACCCATAAAATACACGAACCAATCGTGGTTACTTATTAATCCAATCTTACAAAGATGTTAAACAAGTAATATGTTAAAATTAGAAATAAACGTAATAAAATCGTTTATATTGTGATTAATATTTATTATAATATACAAAAACATCTGTGAATAAATAATTAATATTAGTATTTTTTGTTAAAATCTATAATCTATATATAGTCTTTTAAATTTAGTGCTTCTATGGTGTTTCAAGATGGCGATTGTAGTTTTAATTTCGTCTACTAGTGGCGCGCGTTACTGTGTCACCTATTCTATCTGTAGTTTCGTTTCTACAATAATTTACATCATATTACGCATTATCTAGTTGTCTTCGGATCGTTTAAACTGTGCTGTATTTCTATACGGTTTTGTTACATTAATATTTATTAATTCATATTTTCTATTATATAAAAGGATAATTTATTTTCACCTAAAATGACTACCATTGTTAAAAGTGAGGATCAAGTTCTTATAGTGTTAGGCGATGAGGTTACTTTTGATGAAATATCGAATTTTGATAGCAAGATCAAAACCCTTGTTTGCAAGATCGATCAAATTTCAGTCATCACTTTAAGTGAAATAAAAAAAGGTACATATAATTCGTAATTTCGTTTTTAACATTAAATTTAAACACAGCTTTGAAGTATACAATGAACTAATAAATGATAAACAAATATTAGCATGCGCAGAAACGACCTTACTTTCCGCGATCCCCATAATATAATAATATTTACAAAATGAATCACACACGCTTAAATACGATATCTAATTTTAATTATAATTCTTATATTATAACATGTGTATTATATACAATGTACTTAAATTTTTGTGTAGCCAACTATAGCAGATCTTCCATCGATGTGATTATATTGGTCCTCAAAAAGCCGTTTTTATATGATAACGAAATTTTCGGTGTAGAATTGTTAAAATTATTGAAAGTTAATGGAAAATTAGTAATCTACGAGCCGCTTTTGCTAGAAAGTACATCAGAATGTGATACAGCTTTTAAGGATAGATTATTGAAATTGAAGCTCTCCGGTTTTATAATAAAAGATACAAAGCCTAAAAAATTAGATTTAGAAACAGCTGAGCTTCTGCCTAATTTATATGAAGATATTAATAATGTCTATGAGATAATCGCACAGAAATCATCTTTCGAGGTAATTATGTCATGTTTAGATGTAAGATATATATATTTAATAAGATTAGTTTAACACTTTTACTAAAACGGTTTCACATATTTCTGAGACTTCATTTCATTTGTGACAGTAATAAACATAAAACATAAGTTCTGAGATGTTATTGAAATTTATTTTCCGCAGTATGGTAGTTAATATGTTAATATAATATATATGAAATTTAATTATTAGATTGGATCTAGCATACCTTTAAATTTCAAAACGAAACAAACGAATATATGGAAATTAAACAATATCGAAGATAACTTAGAAGAAGATGATTTATTAGATGAGAATGACTTGATAGACGAGGATGAACTTTTAGATGAAGATGATATCATCAAACCAGATATTACCAGTTTAAAAGGTTGATATGACCAAAATATTCTACTTTTATTATTCCTGTATATCAATATTGGGTTTATATTTAAATATGTGTATCTTTGTTAGTGTGCGGTACAACAGGTAAACGAAAAGCATGCAAAGATTGTTCTTGTGGATTAGCGGAAGAGTTAAACGGTAAAGCGGAAGATCAAGGAATTCAGAAATCATCATGTGGAAATGTATGTAGTTTTTTATACATGAAAAATTTTACTTCTTTTTGACGAGTTTATCGAAATTATTTTCATTATTTATTTGTTATTGCAGTGTTATTTAGGTGATGCTTTTCGTTGCGCGAGCTGTCCTTACCTTGGTATGCCAGCTTTTAAACCTGGGGAAAAAGTAGTTTTACTTGAAAATCAACTAGTTGTTGATACATAAATAGAATTTATTAACACTGTACTGTTTATAGTGACGCTACGTTGGTGTCACGTGAAAACTATCGGGAAAACTACAATAAATAGATGAAAGAATCTTGATCATACTCGCGGATGACAAAGTATTAATAATCTTTTTATAATGACTATAATAAATGAATAATTTATTTATTCATTAAATATTTCAAATATTATTAGCGTGGTGGTTATGGTAGCTACAGTATACTTAAATATTAATTTACATTTAACCCCTTGCTTTATAATTTAAGTTTCGATGGTAAATGCCATAATTAACAGCAAGGTTGGTTACATGTAGAGCAATTTGAAGATTCGGTTAAGCATTTAAAGTTGTGAAGAATGCACACGTCTTATGGCAAAACTATGAGTCTGACTAGTGTTGTTTACATTTGACTCGATTTTCTTACCATAGGTCTCACATAATACTGTAGACAAACGGGTTAAATACAAATAAATACATATGTTAAATAAATTATATCAATTAATATAAATACAATGAAAAAATTATCTTTTATGAAAAAGAGAAATATAAAAATAAATGACTCTTTAAGAGATAGCATATTTTATTTCACTTCTTCTGTATACAATAGTAATTTACATAATAACCATTATACAAGTACTTTGAATATGCAAAATGTTTAATGTATAAGGCATATCATTTTGTTCATTTAGATAAACAGCCATTTTTATCACTCAATATATTTCCTTTTCGTATAATAACTTATGTTGATAAGAACTTATTAAATAACGCTTAAAATATATTTTTAAGTATTTCACGATTCAACATAAGTTTTATTTTCAAATGCGATGAAACAGAACGAAAATAAATTGTTCACCGCTTTTTTTTTTATTCATTTTAATTAGTTATCCTATCTACAGACGATATTGAATATAATACATAAACAAATTGCATATAATGTACTGACATGGTCTTTTATTTTTTTGTAATTTAAGGAACACATCCCTTTCACCATAAATCCACTATCCTGTCGCTGAGGATGAGTGTGCGGGAGAGGGATATTTTCCGCATACAATACACAATTGCACCTTACATTTGTCTATAAATGATTGTTATTTTTTTTTTTTGTATAATATAATGCACATTGTTGTAGCATAAAATTACACTATAAGCATAAGAGCAAAGATCATAGTAGGGTTTAATAAGTATAGTATCTCTATCGTATACAGGAACAGAAATAAAATCGTCATGTATTTTTTCATTTGTTTGTTTGTTTTGCTTCATGACGACAGGAACATTATTCCGTTTTATAGAGGACAACGTAAACGCTATTAAATCATAATTATGTATATTAAATTATTCATTGGTTTGCAGATAATAAAAAATGAAACATTGTCAATAAAACGAACGAAACCAAAAGATTTTGAACTATTTCATTTCATCTAAATTATGTTTTGTGTTTAGTTTAAACAAAATAATATATATTTGCGAACCAATGATCAAGCCGTGTTTAAGACCTTATAAGTATTATAATTATTATTATAAATAACTTTGGTGTATACAAGTTTCATACCCTAAATAGCTGTCCGAGTTACTTATTGATTCCCATTTTGATATTTACAGTAAAAAAATAAAAATAGTTGTATTTTGTCTATACATTATTTGTTTAATTAAAAATTTTTTTATTTAATTGATTATTCAGAGAGATAGAGTGATAGAGAGATATATATATAGAGAGAGAATGATACCTCTAACAATAATATAACAATATATTAAATATATAAAGATGAATAATTATATAAATTGTATCAACGATATGATTGACTATATACATCATATGTGATATATTAAAAAAGAAATGAGAAAAGATAACATGGAAATGAAATAGAATAAATTTTAGAATTACTCTTATGGAACACGGTGGGATAATTATTAATATATTTCTATTAATATAGGTATCAAACTCTGATAGATTAACTGAAACAAATGATTAGCTTCAGCTCTTTCTCTTTTTACACACAATATTTGAAAAAATATTTAAGTAATTGAAAAAAAGAAAAATAAAGGAAATTTAATCGACAGTATCAATCATTTTAAAAAAGGGAATCCATATATAGATGAAAATTCTTATCAATACCTACGTATCTATGTGTTTAACTATCATTCTTAATATTACAACATGTATGCATGTAAATACGTACATATGTATAAATATGTGTATACAGTTTTAGTTATTACTACGGATAATATGTGTATCAGTGTGTTGAACTACTTTTTTTGAACGCGAACAGCTTTTGGTTTGTTCCTATAACAACGATTACGTTGCGTATGATAGTTTTAATTAGAACAATCGGACAAAATTTCACTATGTTTTAAGGCCATTAGAGAAATGTTGATGGTAGCACAGCAGGAAGTTTCATTAATTTATATAATATATACACATAAAATATAGAATAATTAAAATCCATATATATATATATATATATATATATACATAGATTGATATTCTAAATTTTATAGTTTATATAGGTGTTGCGTTTTTCTGTGTATATTTCCTGTCAGATATATATATATATATATATATCTATATATATACATACGTATATTTCTATTATTTTTAATAAACAGATGAATATGTGTTTACACAGGTATGTATATAGGTATGCGTATATTGTACTCTGAGGAGGATTAGGGGAAGGATGCCCTTAGATAATTATTGATAATATTACGATGAAATAGAATATGGTATAGTAATCGAATACGATTTTTTCGAATATCCTAATTTATTCGAAAATGAATATCTAATTAAAATGAAATAGAAGAAAAATGAAAGAAATCCAAAATAAAAATAAAATATAATAATTTTCTTGCACGTAAACAAACGCGCGTGTATGAGTGCATATATTGTGTAATATACATGTACATCGATGTTTGATGTAGTAAGTAGCTCTTGACGGTGAAAATGAATAATTCATTTTTTTGTTTGATGATAAAAATGAAATTTTTGGAGACACATTTTTAAAATAATAGAAAATATTCTTATTTACGAGTGAGTACGCTTGTAATGGGAGCGTGAACGTGAACGTGAATGTGAGTTTGAGCGTAGTGTGTAAATGGTTTTCTCCTTTATGTTTTTTATACCAGAAATGATTGGTATAAAAGAAAAAAAACAAATCTGTCAAGCTAATAAAATTTGTTTGTTTGTTTTTCTTATAGGAATGTACTCAATGGTACTTTCAAACAATCAATCAAGTTTTCTTGGTATGTTTTTTGTAAGGCAGCTTTCTTTATATACGAGTATATTGCACAAGTATTACGTTAAGCGTAGCTTTTCTTGTAAATTTTACACACACATATATATGTATATATATATATGTATATATATATATGTATGTGTATTTATGTTAGCATAATGCACAAAATGTGGCAGCATTTGTTTGCTCGCTAACAACCCTAAATATTGCATGCACATAATTAATTAATTTTTAATCAAAATTATATTAAAAATCCGTATATACTTTGCTATTCTCAAATTTTCACCGAGTGCAAACAAGAAAATATATAACAAAATAATAGACAGTTTAACGAGGCAACAAATTGACTCAAAACAAACCTCTAGTTATATTTTTTTGTACGAATCAGATCAGGTCCGTTTAAATTTGTATCTATTTTTATTACTTTGTTGCTATTATATATAATATATATATATA